GAGTTGGTACTTAGTGCTCGCCATGGTTCTGGCTTGCACTCCCCTCAGCATGGTGGCGTGGGTATACCGTTCCCCATAGCGACCCCTAGAGGACGCAGTTTGAAGTTCCCATGAAAGGGAATGTCTCAGGTTACTTATGTAACCATGGTTCCCTGAGTAGGGAACGAGACACTGCATCCTCTAGGTTTCTTGCCATGCTGCGGACGCAAGCTTCAGACGAAGAAGTGAATGATGTGTAGCTCCCAGCGCCTATTTATACTATAGTCTCACCGGTAGTGACGTCATGGCTGTCACCGGCCAACGAGTTGGTGTTTTTTCAATGTATGCTTCAGACACGGGTCACGGCGAGGCGTTCCCCATAGCGACCCCTAGAGGACGTAGTGTCTCATTCCCTACTCAGGGAACCATGGTTACATAAGTAACCTGAGACGTTCTTTTGCACAGCTGATTCTGTGCTAATGTTATGAGAGCGGGTAAACCGAAGACTTGAATGAAGGGCAATCTGGCGAAACCTAAGTTTATTTAATAACAAATAAATCACAATGGATTGTGTATAGTAAGTGGATTATGGTTTCTGCACTGACGACAACTAATTTATTTACTTTGTATCTTCAAGACTTAAATCCTTGTATGCACATCACTGCCTGTACTTGTATTTGGGTGCTTAGTTGCAAAACTTAATTGTAAACTTTTCAGATCATGATTATGATGTTTTAACTGACTGAAGTTATGATTACTGACTTTATATATTTGAATGTGTATTTTTATTCCAGCCCGGGACGATATATTTGATATAATTACGTCATCGCGAATGACGTCATTACGTTAGGGCGTAAAAGAACCGATTAACCGTTTTTTTTAACCGGTTCATTGAAATGAACTGTCCGAAATAACCGGTTCGCGGAAAAGAACCGGACTTCCCATCTCTATTGTACACTACGTGCAATTCACTGTACAGGAAATACTACACTGTGAACAAGCAACCGATCTCAGCCACAGCGTCAATTTATAGTGCAGGGGGCGGGCGCTTCGGCTTCTAGAGAGCGTTTGATTGGTCAGAAGATTTGATGAGAAGATTAAGTACGATGTGACATCAAAAAAATCATTGAGCCGTTTTGGCGGAAGTGACGAACTAAATGCTTTGAATGCGTATATTAGGGATGGGCGTATCGATCCAAAGTATCGATATATCGATACTGACGCGGGTATCGAAATTATCGATACTCAAACAAAAATATTGATACTAAGGTGCGTTTTATTTACCAGTGATTTTGTTTAATCAAAAAAAAAAGTCATACAATAAGCATTGAATTGGACAAATAACATTTTTTAGCGAGTAATTGTGTAGGGGAGAACAATTTTCCTGCCGATACTCAAACAAAAATATTGATACTAAGGTGCGTTTTATTTACCAGTGATTTTAATTTAACAAAAAAAAAAGTCATACAATATGCATTGAATTGGACAAATAACCTTTGTTAGCGAGTAATTGTGTAGGGTAGAACTATTTTCCTGCTCATCTGAACATATGCAAATGTTACAAAACAGAACCAATCCATCAAAGAGAGCGTTCACTCACTTCTGACAGTGCATTCAAACAGGGCTGCGTTTCCCAAAAGTATCATAAGAAAGCATTAAAGCTTTTGGGCAGCCCTGAACAATGCTTATCAGAGAACAGGAGGACAGAGTTATTTCACAATAAACAAAATGAAATTGTAGCCTACATAGTTTGTGCAATTACAGTTATTTAAATTGAACGTTGAAAGATAATATTGATCATGTTCTATTTGGTAATGTTAATAGAAATCAGACACTGTCAGAGTAAAAAGGTTGCATTTTATGCATCTGCATTAAAAATAACCTTGAAACTAACAAGGATAAGAACCCCCCAAAAAAAAAAAAAAAATTATTTGATTTCATGGGGACGTTAAAGAACAAAAGGTTCTGCAAAAAAGTTGACTTTCGGAGGTTGAATAATTTTGAACATGAACGTTTGGAGCCAATTTTATATTTATCATTATTCATCAATGTTACGTTCTCAGAATCACTCAAATGTGCATTTAAAAAAAATCAACTCAAAGACTTGATGAAAGAAATCACTCCTTAACAGAGAAAATGTGTGGCTCTTAAAAGAGCCGTTGGTTTGAGAACAAACTTCACTCGGTTTACTTGGTCTTGGCAGGTTTCTCGGTCTTCTTGGGCAGCAGCACGGCCTGGATGTTGGGCAGCACGCCGCCCTGAGCGATGGTCACGCCGCCAAAAAGCTTGTTCAGCTCCTCGTCGTTGCGCACCGCCAGCTGCAGGTGACGGGGGATGATACGGGACTTCTTGTTGTCCCGAGCGGCGTTTCCAGCCAGCTCCAGGATCTCCGCAGTGAGGTACTCGAGCACAGCGGCCAAATACACCGGAGCACCGGCACCGACGCGCTCGGCATAGTTGCCTTTGCGGAGAAGCCTGTGAACACGACCGACGGGGAACTGCAGTCCAGCTCTGGAGGAGCGAGTCTTGGCTTTAGCGCGGGCTTTTCCTCCGGTTTTGCCTCTTCCACTCATTGTGATAACACCAGTTACAAGACAGTTCAAAATACCAATGACAATTCAGAGAGCTGCGACGTTACTTTTAAAAGAAACCGTGCCAGTCTCCTATTGGTTGGAGTCTGAATACGTTCCAAGCCAATCAGTGAACTTCTCTCCGAACTTCAAACCCCACCCTCTTTCTGCTGCTGACAACCCTCAAGCACAACGTTAACCATGTTTACGAGCTTCTTTATTGTGTGTACCTGTATTTATTTTTCTATGTATTCCTTTATTTTTTACTTATATACATTTTTGACTTTATGTATAACACTTTCAATTACCTTTGTGTATTAAATGTGTTACATAAACCTCCATCGCCTAGTATTTATTTAGTTTTAAGCATAATCATGATTCAAGTTAAATGTCTCACTTGTAGCAGAATATTCACATTCAGGTATCAATCACGTCAAAATGCAACATTACTTTAAACAGAAACAATGCTCTCACGTTGAATTAGTGGGTGGCTCTTAAAAGAGCCGTTTTGATAAAACACGTTAAAAATGACTGTTTATTTCTTCTTGGCTGCTGTCTTTTTAGGTTTGGCTGCTTTGGGTTTCACCGTCTGGAACGAGCTTGAACGAGCCGGAGGCGCCGACTCCTTTGGTCTGGACCAGGGTGCCTTTAGTCACCAGACTCTTGACGGCGATCTTGACGCGGGAGTTGTTCTTCTCCACATCGTAGCCACCGGCAGCGAGCGCTTTCTTCAGGGCGGCGAGGGACACACCGCTCCTCTCCTTAGATGCAGACACAGCATTAACGATGAGCTCGCTGACGCTTGGGCCCGCTGTCTTGCGTTTAGCCGCTGCTTTCTTCTTGGCTGCTTTGGTCACGGCAGCTGCTGGAGCGGGTTCTGCCATGATGTCTCTGATCGGATCTGGACTCGAACACAAACTGACTGATGATCAACAATGAGCCGCTGCTGGGCGGCGCTGCACATTTAACCACAGCATGAGAACCGTGTAGACTCAACTCGCTCTGTTCAGTGGCTGTGTTCCTCTGCGAGTGACCGGTGCTTGTGTTTTCTCCTTTCATATTTTGAATAAAATTGGAGTTGTAAAATATCTTAATGGAGTATAAACAACGTATACAAAGAGTAGAGGTACTGAACTTTATTTACAGACTAAAGATTGCTACAAGTGAACATTTATTTTAACACCGTCAGATCAAACCCACGGCGTGTGCACGGTAACGGACAAGGGTGCGTGTATCTTTCATCTAATTTTGTGTATTAGCAGTGGTAAATATTTGAATGTGTCGTCCGTGTTTTTAACAAGCACTTTGACAATGTCTTTAATGAAAGAAACATCTCTATTTTGTGTATTTGGTGTAATTAAATGTGTTTATGCAGTTTAAGGTTCAAAAACACATTATTTTCCACATACTGTACATTATTTTTTCTCCTCTATGCCCCGCCTTTCTGAAACAGTTGATTTTTACAAAAGCTCATCGGTCTGAATAGCGAGGTGTGCTGTGATTGGCCGAATACCTCAAGCATGTGATGGAAATGTTACACCCCTTGACACACTGTGATGCCCTGTGCGGCCGGAGCGACGAGACAAAAACATTGAAACCCATTATAAACGAGGCATTCCTTGCATCCAGTGGGGATATAATTACGGATTATAATGACTTTTGCATTATAGTTTACGCGTTGCATCGCACCGCGTAAACATAAAACCATTTAACCATGTTTACGAGCTTCTTTATTGTGTGTACCTGTATTTATTTTTCTATATATTCCTTTATTTTTACTTATATACATTTTGACTTTACGTAAAACACTTTCAATTACCTTTGTGTATTAAATGTTACATCAACCTGTCTCACCTATTATTTATTTCATTAGTTTTAAGCATAATAAAGTGATTCAAGATAAATGTCTTACTTCAAGCAGAACATTAATTCTCAATTAAGTCCAAATGCAACATTACGCGACACTGAACAGAAATAATGCTCTCACTTTTAATTAGTGGGTGGCTCTTAAACGAGCCGTTTTGATAAAACACATGTTAAAAATGACTGTTTATTTCTTCTTGGCTGCTGTCTTTTTAGGTTTGGCTGCTTTGGGTTTCACCGTCTGGAACGAGCTTGAACGAGCCGGAGGCGCCGACTCCTTTGGTCTGGACCAGGGTGCCTTTAGTCACCAGACTCTTGACGGCGATCTTGACGCGGGAGTTGTTCTTCTCCACATCGTAGCCACTGGCAGCGAGCGCTTTCTTCAGGGCGGCGAGGGACACACCGCTCCTCTCCTTAGATGCAGACACAGCCTTAACGATGAGCTCGCTGACGCTTGGGCCCGCTGTCTTGCGTTTAGCCGCTGCTTTCTTCTTGGCTGCTTTGGTCACGGCAGCTGCTGGAGCGGTTTCTGCCATGATGTCTCTGATCGGATCTGGACTCGAACACAAACTGACTGATGATCAACAATGAGCCGCTGCTGGGCGGCGCTGCACATTTAACCACAGCATGAGAACCGTGTAGACTCAACTCGCTCTGTTCAGTGGCTGTGTTCCTCTGCGAGTGACCGGTGCTTCTGTTTTCTCCTTTCATATTTTGAATAAAATTGGAGTTGTAAAATATCTTAATGGAGTATAAACAACGTATACAAAGAGTAGAGGTACTGAACTTTATTTACAGACTAAAGATTGCTACAAGTGAACATTTATTTTAACACCGTCAGATCAAACCCACGGCGTGTGCACGGTAACGGACAAGGGTGCGTGTATCTTTCATCTAATTTTGTGTATTAGCAGTGGTAAATATTTGAATGTGTCGTCCGTGTTTTTAACAAGCACTTTGACAATGTCTTTAATGAAAGAAACATCTCTGAGGGAGTTGCGGAGGTTTATATTCAGACGTTGTTTTGGTCAGTTTGAAGCACACGACACATCTGTCTGTCCTTCATATCCGGTCACTGCTGCTTTCCACGTTTCACTGCTTTATTGATACAAAACCCCCGATTAAAGCTCAAACTCAGCACCTGATCGCATTTGTCATTACAGAGGGGTTTTTTTTGTATGAACTGATGAATAAAACGTATTCATTTATCGGTACTGTGTGCAAGCGTTTGTTTCAATATCAAATGGAAGCAGATCATTTCTTTATATCACAGGTCATTCACTGGCTGGAGGGGTAATGGAAATGTATTTTCCATATATACTTTATTGTTATCAAATTAAACAGATTACATGATTAGACATAGGCCTGTCATCGAAAATAGTTTGGAAATATCACGGTGTTGAAATTGCTGCCTCTTTAGGACATTTACAATTTACAGATGTTCAGATTTTGTAGTATTTGTGCCTGATGTGTGTTTGTGTGTGTGTGCGTGTGTGTGTGTGTGTGTGTGTACCTGGTATTTATCACGTTTTTTGAGAAAGTAAAAATTTACAAAAGTTTCCTGTAAGGTGTAGGGTTGGTGTAGGGCAATGGCACATACAGTTTGTACAGTATAAAAACCATTACGCCTATGGAATGTCCCCATAAAACATGGAAACACAACATGCGTGTGTGTGTGTGTGTGTGTGAGCGCGAGTGTGTGTGTGTGTGTGTGTGTGTGTGTGTGTGTGGGTGTGTGT